TTACGAGCCCGCGCAGCGGCGCTTGTGGTGGTGAGGAGAGGGTCGGAGACAGGGTGATGGGTAGGAGAGAGTTACTCGATGTTACAAAAGGCACTTCTCTCTGAGTGACATTTGGTAGAACAACACGCATTAGCTCTTTTCGCTCTCACGGTCACAAACAAATTCATCAATGTTTTTAATACATCTTTTATCGCTTAATATTCATTAAAAAATAATTCTAATTTCGTCTAGTCGAAATTAGAATTCTAATCTCGTCCATAATCAGTTTAGTCGAATTTGGAATTCCACTTTAGTCCAGACGAAGTTAGAATTCCAATTTCGGCTGGACGAATTCGGAATTGGGCTGAATTCCAACTTCGGCCATAACATATATATATAGGTATTCATTCAATCCATGTGAACATTCTGTTTCTACCAAGCACATTTAGCAACTATCGAGGGATCGATTTAGAAAAGAAAATCTGACGTATGAAAGAATAAAGATTATGTCAAATAATTTATTTATTTTCTTGTTATTTAACTTATATTCTTTCAAGAAACATGAATCAATTCTTTTGATATTTATAGATTAACATCATTTACATTATATTACCACAACTGGTTACCTTCATTCTTTAATGCTTGTTTATTTTCGTTTTTCTTTCTCGAAATAAAATCAATATCAGAATATTATGAAACAATTATCCACAGTTAATTGTTTCGTTGTAGTATTAAATTATTTGTTCAATTACAAAGAAAAATATTTTCATCAGAAAAACATTTCTGGCAACTTTCAAATAATATTTAATTTGTCCTGTTATGAAAATAACTTTAATAATATGTTATTTTTAGAAAGATATCTTATAGATATATTTTTTTCCAAACAAAATTTCTCCTTAGTAATGATTGAAGTTTTTAAAATAGATTAAACAATAAAATATAAGTTTAATACCAAATAATAATAACGGGTGGCCCAGATTAAATGGACCTCTCAGTATTTTGACTATAACTTTTTTTCTTTTTGGTCTTTAGAGCTAATTGTTTTTCGAAAAGATGCGCCGTCAAATTCTCTGTAGAATCATAATCAAACTTATTTGTGTAGAAAGTTAAGGAAAAACGTTAAACGAAGATTATCCGACACATTAAAAGTACCCAACTTTCAAAGTTAACCGGTGTTGGTATCTCTTTTTTTTTATCGTTGAGTACGTCTATTTGAAAAGCAAAGTATACCATAAGACGCAGCGTGAAAAGTTCTATAAGTTACATTGAAAACCTTACTTTATATATGCACTCTTTGTTTTCAAAATGGACGAAATTCTATGCGACCAATTTTTGACGCTACGAACAAGATCAGTTTTTGGAACACTACGAATTCATTTTTTCTTATTTCATCTTTTTATCGCCTAATATGTTGTATTAAAAGAAAAGAAAATATTCTACAAGATGCAGCGTGAAAAGCTCTACAATCTACAAAGAACAGTTTATTTTATATATATGCATCTTTTGTTTTTATAATAAGCAAAGCTCTGTGCGACCAAAAATGATCTTGTTTGCAGCGTCGAAAATTGGTCGCATAGAATTTTGTCCATTTTGAAAACAAAGAGTGCTTGCATAAAATAACGTTTTTAATGTAACTTGTAGAGCTTTTCACGTTGCATCGTATGGTATGCTTTACTTTTAAAATAATGTGCTTGGCGATAGAAAAAAGAGATACAAACATCGGACACTTTTGAGACATCCATCAGCTTTGAAAGTTGGATACTTTTAATGTGTCGGATAATCTTCGTTTAACGTTTTCCCTTAACTTTCTACACAAATAAGTTCGATTATAATTTTACAGAAAATTTGACGGCGCGTCTTTTGGAAAAACAATTAGCTCTAAAGACCAAAAAGAAAAAAAGTTATAGTCAAAATATTGAGAGGTTCATTTAATCTGGGCCACCCGTTAGTATGAGAAATAATAGAAAAAATTGAATGTATTTGTGTTTTTTATCAAAAACAAAAAGGATTTTTTTTGGTAGAATTCTTTATTGAAGTAAATAAAGTGAGATTTTCAATATTTATTTTAAAATAGAATTAATACAATTGAATAATACTGTCGACATTGGTGAAGTCACTTTTGGAGTTCAAAACATGAATACAAATATGATAACAGATCTTTTGGTTTTAAAGAAAAGTAAATTTGAATTATCAAAAATAGAATTGCAGATATTATTTTAAAATATCGATTAAAATTTATCAAATTCCATAAAGGACATGTAGCAGTAACTTTAACCATGTTCAATTTCATAATTGCTAAAGAAAGTTTACTAAAGTATTTATTCAGAAACCTATTGAATAAATTCTTGTACTGTGCACGATTCGATCAAATGTAATTCATAGATATTGGATGCATTCCTTGAAGTAAAAGATTAAGTCGCTTAGTTGAACATTTCTATCTTATCACCAAAGGAATGGACAAAAGAAAAAGTTTCATATAAATCTTCATACATCTTCTCTTCTTTTTTTTTTTTTTGTTGGACATTATAATATCAACTGTTAATAATAATGATGACCTTAGTCTTCTACTAGAAAAAACAATCCGAAGCACCTCATCATAATTCTAGTATAACATTGCTTTTGTCTATTAAAAAAAATCTAATTGTATCGGCGTTATTGACGTATGATTGGAAATAAAAAAGAAAAAAGAAAAAGAATTATCGTTGTGAATCTTATTTCTTTCTGTCGCAATCGTGAGAAGAATTTTTTAATGTTGATTGATTGATAATGTTTGCTGGTGTATGTCAAATATGATGCACTTATTCTTGAAGAAGTCTGTCATAAGTTTGTGAAGGTTAAGAAGAATTTTATGTTTGTTGTTCTAACATAATAATATGTTTTTTTTGAAAATAGGATCATATGGAAAATATAAAAGGAAACGAATGATAACATCTCAAGTGCTGCTCGTGTTTCCATCTGATTGACAATAAATAAACCTCAATATTTATATAGAAAAATTTGTTTTCTTTAATAATAAATGAACATGTTTAATTATCCGTCAAATAATGATGTTTATTGTTGATTCTCCTTTCTTTCTTATCCTATAAACGCTTCTTTGGTGTGTTTCTTAATGATCAATGTATTATACTTTTGTTATTATGTGTACACCAATCGTTTAGATAGAATTTCTTCGTACTTTTTTTTCTTGTAATGAACAGCTATTTCATCTCTTGATCAACAACGACGTTAAGTCTTATGTACTAGAGAGATTCTTTGTAGAAAACCAAGGATGAGATCACATGTGAAACATTGTACAAATAGAAAAGGCATTATATTCTTAAAAGAAAAAGCGATCGTGATGTATCTCGCTTTCATATTTTTAATAGGATTTATCCATCTATCCTATATAGAAAATATACGTACAAATTATTTTTTATATGTAATGCATAGAATTTGTTTGAAAGATTTCTTTTATTAAATATATATTTTCTTCGATTCCGATACTTGAATGTAGCTAGTTCGATGTTTCTAGGGATAATAATGATGGCAAGAATAATAATCTGATCTTTGTCGAATATAAGAAAGCAAGAGAAAGAGAAAGAAATTTCCTTCTACGATCTGTAAATCAACAATTAGTTCTCTTTTTTAGATCGATGAATCTTCATATTCAGTTATTTTTATTCTTTCTATTGTAATAAGTTTATTTGACGAACTGTCTTCATCTGCAATTCATCGCATAAACCATACGTGACGAATCACTATCAATGAGTTTATCTTCGAATGGAATAGGAACAACTAATACACCTGCATTACCATCTTCGCCATCATCAACACATCCATATTTAACAGCAAAACGATGTTATAACGCACAACCATCATTATCAACATCAACAGTTGATTTTCGTGAATTAACAAATACACTTCAAGAATTAAATAATAATTTCAAACGAAATGTTAAGCTTTTGACAGATATTAAAAATCAATTTATTAAAGTATGTGAAAAACAAGAAGCAAGAGTAGTAGATGATGGTTCTGGTACACATAAACTTGAAAGAGTATGTATTAATTAATTAGAATTTATTTTGTTTTAAATAACTTAAGAGAATTTCATCAATAGAGAAAAAATTAGTTTAGAATGAAATAAATTCTTCTTCATGAATATATATTCATGATGATATACAACAATTATTTGTTTTTCTTCAGATAGAATCGATGGTATAAACAATAATAAGTAAATAGAAAATCAGTGAATTTCATTGATCTATAAAAGAAAATCATATTCGTATTATAAAATATTCATTACGTTAGTGTCCTTCGAGTATTCATGATGAAAAAAGAAAATCATTCTATCTTAATGATCGTCAAAGTTTTTTTCGCTTAATAACAAAATAATAAAGAGCATTTGTATATTGATCCCAAAATATTATAAATAACTTATTTCACATATGGATATAATATGTTTCTCATATTGCAATACGTCGTACGATAAATTATGAAAATATTATTCAAACTTAGTATTTGATCGAAGCATCTATCATTTTCTTCTTCTAAAATAAATAATTATTATTTGTTTATTTAATTCGAGCAAATAATATCTATTCTAGTATCCAGGACGGATAAATTTTGAGATCTAACTATTTTAAGGTAAATCTATTCTCGATTAATAACTCATCAAGAAATTATAAGAGAAAGAAAAACTATGCAAAAATTCATATATGCAGCATATTCAACTGAACTGGCTAGATCTAACCGAACAGATAAAACAAAATTATGAATGAATACTTGATAAATAGCCTAACAACGCATTTATGATGAGACATTTTCAATTTCGACACATTTTCAGATGAGAATCTATGACACTATCACTATGGAAATGCAAATATGATACATTTCATTTTAGTAACCACGCTGATATCTTGAAGAAAAGATTAGGAAATGTTTGCTAAATTTTTGTAAAGGAAATTTTAAAACGTAATCTTTTCAGAAAAATCGAATACATGTACATGTTCATTAGATTTTTTCCAAAGAAAACTATATAATATTAATTGATAGTATTCTATTGACTATATTAAATATTTTTTACTGAGGAAGAAAAAATAAATTGAATTATTTTATTTTGAGGTAACCGTTGAATTACGATTAGTATTTTTGAAAATTGGTGAAATCGATACATTGAAAGAACAATTTCAAGCTGAAGCATTTATTCAAGCACGCTGGTATGAACCAAGCCTGAAAGGAACGGTAAGTATATCAATTAGCTCGTATAAAACTGTCGTACTTTATTATTTCATTTAATTATAAATAAAAAGAAAATAAAAATCAAATATTTAATTAGGAAATTGATTGTTTCGATGCACATAAATTTTGGAATCCATTATTATATATTGATAATTCAGTTGGAGATTTAAAAAATGATGTTTGGCATAAAGTTGTATATGATGGAACTGATACACCAATGGTTTATGAAATGCGAAAAGTTAAAGGCGTTTTTCTTGAAAATCTTGAACTTAATGATTTTCCTGTTGATGTTCAAGTAAAGAACAATTTTTTTTATTTGAAATTTTTTCATTTTTATTAAATATTTTATTCTTTAAAAGGATCTAACAATAACGATTTCGACAACAAGAACTGTTAATGAAGTATCACTTGTTGCCGATACTTATCAATTAAGTGCAATAAATACACGTAATAATAATCTATATCTATAAGAAAACAATACGGTTTTTTTTCTTCAATTTTAAGATGCATTTATTGATCAACAAGAATGGCGTTTACATGAACATGTTGAAACATCAACAAAACTAATATCAAGTCCATTTGCACCATCGCAAAATCAACATCCAGCTTTCTCAGCTACTTGTAAGGGACATCTTCTAAGATTTTTCAAAAAAAAATAATTTAATAATATTTAAAATTTCGAAATTCTAGTTATTCTTTAAAGGCAACACGATTTATATTTTATTATGATTTACCTTTAAAAGTCAGATCTAACAAATGAAGAAAATTTTCTAATTAATTTATCACTTTTAAGTTGGGGCTATGCACGTCATGTAGATTCGAATGAGTTATAAGTATTCTGGAAAGAGTTCGAGTCCTTAGGTTATTAGTAATGAAGGTACTGGATTTTAACGGTATTTTTGGAATCAATACAAAGGCTACCTATCAGGAATAAGAGAAAAACTGATTTTCCAATATCAAATTGACATTTCATACAAATACAAACCTTAACAAAAATAGTTTCAGGATTAGAAGTAAATCAAAAGATTTGAAGATTTCATAATAAACAATTTTTGTTAAGATCTATCGCTGTGCAAAGTGTGATGTTCAGATTTGAAAATTTGTTTTACTGTTATTTGTCAGAAGAACATCGCATTGACTAAAACAATACCACAAAAATACATGCAGTATCGCCGCAGCAATAAGCTACGAAAACGAATTTTTTTAAGTGTATTTATAGCGCATTAGAGCCTATATGATGCAACTTGTCTCGACTTGAAACCAATTATTCCGTTGGGGGAAGTCTCTCGTGAGCATACAAAGATGAAGCAAAGTTTGAATCGTCATGATCCTTTTCTGACTACTGATTTTGATTAAGATTTGAGAACAATAGTTAAAAAAGAATTGTTTACTTTCGAGTATTGTACTAAGAATTTTTGTCTAAAATTGGATTAATCATAAATTTTGTAATCTGCAGAATATTTCATTGTAAATGGATACTTTCGAATTCTAAATTAGATTTATTTACAATTGAATTTTTCTATGAAAGCCTTCTTAAATTTTGAACGACAATCAAATAGATCATTACAAAATGACCTTGGAGGACAGCTCAAACTGTAAATGAGCGTAATTCTTCGAGTTTCACGTTGAATAAAATATTATTATTAAAATCAATTACTACTTTGTTTATTATCCTATTGATCATTAACCGTAGATTGTTCAATATTTAAAGATTAAACTCTATTTCGAAATTTGATGTATTAAATATCAATTTAAATATCTAATACGATTATCAAAAATGAGAAAAATTATCTTCATGAATATCTAATTAATTAATTCTAGGTCATGCTGCCCGTCGACCTGGTTATTTCTATTGGAATGTTTATTTTTTAATCGTAAATTCAGTTATTCAGATTTTTATTTAAACAAAAACTAGAATCGTTTAATCTTTAGTTTTTTATCACAGTAATGGCTTTTGCTACATTCAGTGTTACTTATAATCTTCCACAAAATCGTCTTCAATTAAGTTTTACTCTTCTATTAACAGCTGTTACATTTAAATGGGTTGTTGTACGATGTTTGCCAACAATATCTTATCTAACAACATTAGTAAAACTTACGTTCTTGTTTTTTAAATTAAAATTTATTATAAATAATTAATAGGATAAATATGTATTATTATCCATGGTAATGCTATGTGTTGTTTGTGCTTGGCATGCTATTATAGCTGTATGTCCAACTGATGTAGCACCACGTTGGGACAATATGGCATTAATATCATTAGCAGTAATATATACAGTATTTCATCTAGTATTTTTTCTTTGGATGTATTTTGTTGTAAGTAAATCAAAAAGGAAGAAAAGTTTTCAAATTATTTAAATTTTTTATTTTCTTAGACGTATCGTCGACGACGTGTAATGAAACGTAAAGATAAAGAATATTTAGTAAGTTAAAATACAGATAAATAATTTTGATTGAATTAAATAATTTTAATATTGAGAAATAAATTCAATTCTAGAATTTATTTGATACAGATCAATTTTTTAAGATAAGCGGTTAAGCATTTTCTGATTGTTAGCTAAAGCATGATATCAGAAGAGATAAAATATAAGAAACTCATGTGTCGCATGATATTTATTAGTTTAATTAAAAAACATAAAATAAAATATTTCTTGTTCTTTTACCAGAAAAATCGTTTTGAACGTCTAAATGCTCTTGGTATTTATCCAGGTGATCAATCAGATAAATATGTTGGTTCATCGGCAGCCACAACTGTTGTACGTAAAACAGCACATTCATTAACATCAACTGGAAAACTTCTTCAACGTGTATTAACTTCCTCTGACGGAATATGTCGGCCAAATCCTATTGAACAAAATCATAAAAATTTGACAAATAAACATGCATTTGAAAAACATCAACATCGAGCATCAATGAGACAATCAACAACAACAAAAAATTCAAATGATTCTCAAAATCATGATATAGGACAACAAATACTATTAACATCTGGTGATATCGAAGCAATGACAATGAAACAATTTCGTGTTGGTTCTATTGGATGTTAATTTTATTTTTCTATGAAAAGTCTAAAGAGAAAAGAAATAGATGATTGAATTGTAAACAATAATTCGTAACTCATTGTATATTCTATACAGTATCGATAAAAATCTAATCGAAGAATAATATAATGAGATTCTTATATGTTTCATTATATTCTATATTTAGTATTATAATATGAATTAATCTTGATCAGCTATGAAACAATAATCTCATTCTTAGGAATTTCAATAAGACATAAACAAAAGACTAAAGAAACATGCTAAATGAAAAATCAATGGTCAAGTCAATCAATATGTATTTAGTGTTGAAGGAATCGACAAAAGCTTATTAATTCAATTTCGGAATTAAGAGCAAATATGGATCGTAGTTCGACTTCACTTTTTTGTTATGAATTCATAATTAATAGAATAAGAAAAGTCTAAAAGAGTCATATATTTGATTTGCTGATGAAAATTTGTAGCTGTTTTACTAAATTTTTCTCTATAATTAGGTCTAATAATAATGAAGAAAAATCGTACATCGATACCTTCCGACATTTTTTTGTACTTTTAAAATAAAGAACTATGATTTTTTTGCTCTTATCTAATGATCATTTGAGTACTTTGGAAGTTTCAATAAAATCAATACTCTTTTCTCAATGCTAAATAATCATTCGCTAGTAAATACACTGAAGTCAGAGTACTCCGCTACCAGTATGTCAGAGAAATCTTTACGTACTTTATGAGATTTTAGCACTTGACTGAAAAATTCTTCTTAGTGTTCAATCTACTAACTTGTTGAAAAATTTTTCGTAGAATGTGATAGACTTTCGCTGAGTGCCTAGTCAATATTCATGCACTGAGACAATATGCAACAGGATATCCAACCAAGATCTTGTGAAATACTGATAAAAGGATACTCAAAAAGATACCCTGCTATCAACTGATCGAGTACATGGGTATCTTGAACTTAGTACATTTACTAAAGTTCGCAATAGATTTGACTATCATATTATTTATTTTCTGATTTCACAAGCTAAAAACAAGAGATCGAAATAATTCTCTATCACTGTCGATACGTTCGAAAAGCGTTGCTCGTATACTTGAATCGTTTAATCTTGAACATCTTTTCTCATCAAGATTTTATTAAAAATGAACAAGATCAAAGATGTTTTACTCGTATCTCATAAAAAATGTTTAAATAATAAATGAGAAATCTTGATTATGTAAGCATTGCTATAATCTACAACGAAAATTGGCTTTTCTAAATCAAGTTGATCAGTGATAAAAACAGACATTTCTAATTGAGAATTAACAAAGGTAAAGAAATTTAAACCATTGTTCATATTGTAATATGCCTTGTTTAATTGATTTTTTACGTTTTGTTTAGAATTTTCTTTATCTTTAGATAATTATCTATTATTTTTCAATAAAGAAATATTCTTTATTTATAATAATGACAATTTAATGAGTTTTGTTTTAACCAGCTGGTTTACATTTGCTTGGTCTAATATAATTGTAGCAGAAAATTTCTATAAACAAACTCTATCAGTTATATCATCATCTCATTTCAAGATGAGCGAGTCATACTCAAATAGAACATCGCTGATCAGCTCTTAATTGTTTCTTCTATTCATTGTTATTCCAAGTTTATTCAACAAAAAGAAGTGAGAAAAACGAACTCATCATTTGACACGAATAATCTTCAATGTTGCTTTTAGTGAATTAAAACATTCGTTCTATTTTTAATCAAATTCTGATGAGAATAATGTTCTAATAAATATTCAAATGAGAAAGACTGCATATATTTCTCGTAACTGACCTTCTCTTGTTTAATGTAGCCGAAGTTAATATTCTTTTACACACGAATAAGTTCATAGATTGAGAATGTTGTCTTCTATCCTCTAATTGCATATTGACCTGATTAATTGCTCTGGAAAACAATTTGTTCCATATGTGTTTGAAGAATCCTAATTATTTAATAAAAAGTAGTTAAATTATAATAAATATAAAAAGATGAGCATGAATTCGGACTTCACTAAGAGTGGCTCAAAAATAATGGTCGAGATTTTATCTTGAAAAATCTTGATGAAAAATTACTTTTTCGTAAAATATTTATATTTAATTAATCTCTTTGGATATGCTGTTTTTTTCTTAATAGTAGTGAACGAAAAACAAGTCGATACAACAAATGATACTTTATTTTCTTCCTCTATAAACTAATTAGAATTCTATTTGCTGCTCGTAGAAATCTACTATTTTTCTCATGCTTGTCTTCATTGATTTACTTATAAGAATTTTTCCTGATTTCTTTTAATCTTAATTACATATTAGAGCCACTTCATTTGTTTAAAGTGTTTCTCACAATAGTCTTATTTATTTTAGATGCGCACGTCTGATTGAGGTACATATATTAATTCTTTTTCACGTTATGTCAAGACTAGAACAAAATGCCGATGAAACAGATTCTTACTGCATGAACTTAGATGTGTATTATCATTCTTGCGTTGTTTTTCCGCCAATATTGACAATAGCAACTTCTTTTCAATCTTTTCTAGTTTTTCTTTTTTTATTGACGAATTGTCATTCTAGTCAGTGTATTGGCACATGTTCCAAAGTCCTGTAATCAGGTCGGATGGGTAAAATCCAACTTGATCCATTGCCTGAGTTCAAATCAATTCACGTTTCAGACATGATCAAAACTTCTGGATTGAATCGGGATACAAAAGTTGTACTCATCAAGGACATTAAAATACGCTAGTAAGATACAATAGTGTCTACTTTTATTGATATCTAATTATCATTGTTCAAGCACTGATAATGTTGAATGAAACTTTTCTAGTAGTAATTCATAAGAAATTTGAAATCGTTTATATGCTCTACATTTTTTTAATACTAGCTATTAATTAAAATTAATAATTTCTTAAAACTTTGATTGTATTCATAGATGAAGAGTATTTTTCTTATGACACGTATTTCCAAAAAACAAAAGAAATTCAAACAAAGATAATAGCATATCGACAATCTTCGTAGTGAAAAATTATAAAAATAGATTATTATAAGAAAATGAAATCCATGACATCATCCAAGTTTATTACTCAAGGTTAGAGATGTGTGGGACCAAGTTTTTTCGTCAGAAACCGGCCCTCGTCTAGAGAAAACTACTCGAGAATTCATTCATATCATATATAAAACAAATTCATCAATACTCGTTTTTTTATTTTATTTAGTCGACGACTCACAAATTTTTTGGATCATCTATCTTGAATTTCGTTCTAATTGATGATTTATAAGATGATTCGCATAAAACCATAAAATATTTTAACAATAATCTTTAGTTTCGATTTGTACAACTTTCTTCTCGCAGTGCCAATCTTAATAAATTTCCAAATTTTGGTTCCACATATTTTTATTGACAATAAATATGATAAGTCTTGTATTACTTCTTTGATAAAATGAAATTATAAGGATAGTTTCAAAAATAGTAATACAACACTCTATCAAAATTTTCATGTATTTACCTTAAATTTTCTTGTTAAGTCAAAAACGTTTATCACAAACGAGGAAAACTTTTCATTGAAATTATTTAAAATCATATATGAAGCAAAAATCATTGTTTTTTGTTTTAATTAGTCGAAATAAAGAATATCTTTCTCGATGATAATTTTTTAAAGCAAAACTCGAATTGAAACAAACCTATTGTTTCAATGATCAATTCAATTTTTCTTCATTTTATCATTCTTCGTCTACTAATCAAAGTTTTCCCAATTCAATATATAATTTATATCATATCGACATACCATATTCAAACTTCAGTGCTAAGAAGTTAGATGAGAACTCGAGAAACTTATCTTCAAACTATATGCATTCAATCATCCATTCGACTACACTCAAAATGTGTATAATACATTTGAGAAATTCTGTCTGTGATTCATACCAGATAAAACTCGCTAGTATACTGATAATCAACTGTAGGTAGTTTGATACTTAAACAGTTGTCAATCTTCTAACTGCTATTCTATCGCGTTATGTCGGCCATAGTATGAACAAACATGCAGCATGAGTGCACATCAATTCTACGTGCAGTAGAGCTCGTCAGGTTAGTCTCGATCTTGCACCCGGCCGAAAAGTTTTCCGTTAGCCATGTTTGGGTTCAAAAATTTTGAACCTAACAGGTTCTGACATGAAACTTACCTTTCTGATTAGAGCTAATATATTATATAGAAAAAAAAAACAATTTATGAATGTAAATTCTTTTTGTCTTTGACATGAATTTGCACGTTAATTTGTGTTCAAGATTATCAGTTTACAACAGATATTCTCATTTCTCAAAAACTAAAGGTTAATATTATAGTTTTTCCAATGCGAAATTAATAAACTAAATATGAAGTGTACAGATTAGCTTTTGCAACTGAATTGAGTAATTTTTTTAAAAACTCTGTTCATACGAAAAGTCTTTCTTTTATGTATAGTCTATTTGAATATTTTTGTTATTAATCAATAGATGTCAGTAGTTATCGATGAATATCATTATAAAACTGTAAAATGAGAGATGATGTTTGTCGTTGATGGCGATAAATAAACAAATGAGGTAAAAGCAAAATGTCATTGCTGATTTCCTTTGTGCTACAATTCTGTCTGTTTTTTTTTCTTTTCTATTCTTTTTATCTATTTGCAGAGGCGTTTCCATTCACAAATTCAATAAACGAAAATTTGAATTTATAAAAGAAAAATTTTTTCTTTCCTTTCATTGAAAATAAAAAGCTAACATATACTTATTTTATATTCTCGTCATGTTCATTTAAGGAACTAAAAAAAGAGCTCTTGTCTTTATTTAGATTGTATATACATAAAGCCTAATGATGTATTATCCATGAAAAATATTTCTATTGATTATGGCACAACAAAAGACAAATGGCATTGGTGCTGTTGATTCTAGTTTAGATGATTCAAAAAAACAAGGAACAAGGTAAAGCCTTATATTTAATCTTTTTATTCTTTTCATATAATGTTCTATAAAAAGCTATTAGATAAGTATGTTTAAAAATTTCTATTGTTATAAAAAAACTATAAAAAAAAAAAAAACTTTTTTTTAGAATAAAAATATTTTTATATCTATAACTCAAAGAAAAAAATTAATGATTTGTAAAATGATCCATTAGATTAAATGGAGAACTTGTTTTTCTTTTTTTCTGTTAGGCATTTTAATTACTAAAATGATAGTATTGGTAGCACCATCATCTTTTCTTTTCCTTCTCAGAAACGTTCTTTTCGCTATTATCACTGTTTTTACTCTCAAAGCTGTTCTGTTCCGTTTCGCGTCTAGCATTAAGGCTTCAAAAAAGAATATGGAAGAAAAGCAAAAAAAAAAACCGAGCGTTCGAGAGACTCATAAAAAAAGAAAAAGAATAAGAATGGCGTGAAGTTGATATGAGAAATAGTGATAAAGAGGACATCGATGAATTATCCTAGTGACTACATATATGAGAAGAAAAAAAAAATTGAAAGTACGCATATTATTATAATCCGTTCGATGCATTGGATCTTGTCTCGTTGAATTATGTTAAACAATGTTTATTTTTCTATCTAATACTTTATGAAACCGTAAGTAAAAAAAACTAAAATATTTTGTTTTTTATCGTTTGTTTTTCATATATAAGAGATCAATAAAATTTGATGGTAGTATGTTAAATAAAATAAGTAGATGAATCTAATTATTGTTGTTTTTTTTTTAATTTTATGACATCAATTTCATGGAAAACTTAAAATAAATCTTCAAAAATTGAATAATATTCAAGAATAAATGTTTATTGTTATTTTTTTTTAATATAGCAGAGTTTTCATAGGAACATTGAACAGATATATGAACAAAATCTTTCAGTTTCGGGAAGAATTATGAAGTCAAAAAGCAGAATAAACAGTTTTTTTTTGAGTAGCTTTATAGCCGCAGCAATAACATGATGTTTCTTTCGTCCGGAAAATGCGTAGAACATCTTATTCTTTAATTGTTGTCATGTATGTAGAATAGAATTGCTCGTAGTCGCTGTCGCCGACGTTTTGTCAATTGATGTGTTTAGATAAATAGATAGATAGGATAAGACATAATACGAACTTGTTTTTCTCGTCTCTATTGATATACAGATGGTCTTGTTGACCTTATTCAAAACAAAAGAATAACTTTTTGACAAATAATATGTAATCTATAATATATATTTTATTTTTAGAGTGTTCAAAAAAAGTAGTCCAAATTCGAAGGTATTAATGTCTCAAAAAAGTTTTTATAATGAATAATCAAGAGTTTTTCTTTAGATTACATGTTACCTCGGAAGAAGAGATTTTATCGATTATATGGATCATATCGATCCAATCGGTATGTTGGAACTCTTTTCATGTTAAAATAAATGAAAAGAATCTTAATTAATTTTTCTTAGATGGAGTAGTTCTAGTCGATCCAGAATATGTTAAAAATCGTAAAGTCTATGCATCTGTCTTAGCAGGTATGGTTGAATTATTTTCATCAATAAAAAATAATAGAAAAATTTTTTTTTTTGTCTATATAAAGCATTTCGATATGGTAGAGAAGATCTTGATGTGCTTGGTTTAACATTTCGAAAAGATTTATTTTGTTCAACTCAACAAATTTATCCTCCAATTGATGATCAAAAAAAACCCTTAACGCATTTACAACAACGTCTTTTACGTAAATTAGGACCGAATGCATATCCATTTTATTTTGAAGTAAAAAATTTCGTTTTCTTTTTTCAAATAAAAAATTTTTTAATATCGAAAAAATATTTAATTTTTCCTTAGATTCCTCAAAGTGCACCAGCTTCAGTAACATTACAACCAGCAGCTGGTGATACAGGAAAACCATGTGGAGTGGATTATGAATTAAAAACTTATGTAGCAGAAACAAGTGAAGATAAATCACATAAACGAAGTTCCGTTAGATTAGCAATAAGAAAATTAACATATGCACCAGAAATTCCTGCACCACAACCTGTTATTGAAGCACATAAAGATTTTATGATGTCACCTGCACCATTACATCTTGAATGTACACTTGATAAAGAGGTTTAATATTTTGTGTTTTTTTTTTTAAATAAAAATTTATGTTCTGACTTTAAATTTAGATGTATTATCATGGTGAAAGTATCAATGTGAATGTTGTTGTCACGAATAATTCAAATAAAACATTAAGAAAAATTCGTATTTCTGGTAAGTTAATAAAAATTTTTAATTAAACGAACAAAAAAAGAATACTAAGAAATTTTCATTTTTGAAATCAAAATCTTAAAAAAACCTAAAAATATCTTGATCCCTAATTAACAATATAGTCGTTCAATATGCTGAAATCTGCTTGTACTCATCAACACAGTATAAGTGTGATGTAGCTGTTATTGAATCAAGGTAGGTTTTGTTCTTTTTTTCATTTAATCTGCTCAATATTCAGTATATATTTGTATTTAATTGTTGCTTTAATCAATGTTGTTATTTCATGTCGTATGCTTTAAATATATCTTCTAGTTAAGCAATATGCTGAAATTTGTATGTTCACAAATGCTCATTACAAATGCACTGTCGCCGAATTGGAAACTGAGTATGCTATTTGTTATATTATGCTTTAGCTTTTGATATTTTTCTTATTTAGTTACATTGAATATAACATTTTTTTTTTCTTTTTTGTTTTTAGTGAAGGATTTCCAATAACTCCATGTTCGAATTTAACAAAAGTTTATTCATTAACACCATTATTGGCCAATAATAAAGATAAACGAGGTTTGGCACTTGATGGAAAATTAAAACATGAAGATACAAATTTAGCTTCATCAACAATGTAAGTTTTATTATTATTTTTTGTTTTTGATAAATAAAAAAAAATGAAAATTCTATTTAAAATAGAATTCGAAATGCAACACAAAAAGAAAATCTTGGAATTATCGTGCAATACAAAGTAAAAGTTAAAATAATTGTTGCAATGGGAGGGTGAGTTTATATTATTTTAACTTGAAAAATAAAAATGTTTCTTTGTTTTTTTTTTTTTTTATTGAATAATTTTTAAAGAGATTTAGCAGTTGAATTACCATTTACATTAACTCATCCAAAACCTCCTCCAACTCCTTCACCATCTCGACAGCTTGAATTTATTTCAAATCAACAAACTACTGACGATCAACAAATTATAGATGTGCCTGTTGATCATAATTTAATTCAACTTGATACGAAGTTTGTTTTATTTTTATTTTTTATTTAAAATATAATTAATAATTAATATTTTTTATTAAAAGTTCTGATAATCCTGGTCATGATGATGATTTTATCTTTGAAGAATTTGCACGTATACGTCTTAAAGGTCATGAAAGTGGTCATGAAGATACTGAAGCATAAACAAAAATAAAAACAAAAACAATACTCATTATCAATCGAACAAATTTCTTCTATCTTTTTCTTCTCTCCTAAAGATTTTAAACAATGCGAACCGCCGTGATTTCTGTCTCTTATTATTGTTCATTGCTTTTCTTATTTGTTTGTTGTACATATTGTTGTTCTATGTATCTACTGCTTTTCTTTCTCATTCATTCAATATTATAAAAAGAAACAAAATATATAACAATAAAGAATGAAGGGCAATTCATTATTTTCTCTATACTCAAAAGTAAATAGATATGACATAGAATATTATTTATTATGTCGAGAGACCTATTGACATTTATTTAAATCACTGAATTTATCTATTGATAGTATGTAATACATCTGATATGAAAAAAAGAGAACCACAATTTTACAATATGTTCGAAAAATTATCTTTGAGTTGTAACCGATCTAGTTGATCTTCATCGATTAGAAAATATTTAATAGATAAACTATTTTATTTTGATAAAACTTATTTGTTCTTATCACAATAATAAAATAGTTTTGTTTTAAGAATTATCAGTTTTATTTTCTTCTATTGTATTTCTTTAAGAAGCACAATCAAAACTTTATTACTTAAGTTAAACTTAAATCATATAGATTTTGGTGAAGATCAAATTTATGTTCGGATTGTTGTTTAGAAGAAAGATGTTAGATTCATCTGAAAAGATTAAGTGATAACATTCAAGATCGGAAATCCAGCAATCAGTTTATGGGTAAATGACTCTTTTGTTTACGCGCTGCACAAAGCAATATCACATATTCATTAATGAGAAACCTAACAAGTATAAGCGACTATAACATTATATTTATTCTTAGAGATTTTTGAAAATCTGAGTGCAAAAAGGAAAATGAATGTTTTTTTAAAGTTATTTCCATTAACCAATAACTAATAATTCAATAAACCAACCAGTTTTTGTCGGTTTTCACTGGTATAAAAGATCTTTTGAACCGAATGGACAGTAACCAGAACGTTCAAAAAATCTCGACCGATTAAAACTTCGATTCATTCACTAAAAAACCTCTCCATTGTCACTGGTACAACTAAATACTTGTCAAGACTATGATTTTTAGATATACTACATAAAAACTCCTTGTTTTTTGAGTATCGAAAAGCAACATGTAGGGCTATATGCTGTAGTATTTCAATCTTTTGCGTTATTCTGAACTGTTCACTATCCAGGTGTCTTTCTCTTACTTTGTAAATATTTGCGTGACACTTTTAAAACTTAGAGAGATGAATCTTAGGTTTAGTGACTGTGAAAATCTTAAACGTCGAACCTTTTTTATCAATTGGCTCCTTATCAAAGCTTTTCATGAGGAAAGAAACAAATTGTTTTGAAAAAACGTAATAATTACATGAGAGAGTTTTTCAAAAATGTATCACGAAAATGTTTATAAAGTAAAAGAAGGACATCTAGATGGTGTAATATTCAGAATAACGAAAACAATTGAAATAATTTAGTATAAAACTCCACATTTTTTTTTATCGAAACTCGCAAAAATGGGAGGTTTTTTTTGTACGCATTTGATTCGAAAGTTATAGTTTTCACGAGTATTTACGAAATTTAACTTTAAAAATAAAAACTTATAACTTTCCTCTATGTCTAGAGAAGAAAGCCACTTGCTTTGGAGTAATCACAGTGGGTATGTACAGTTTTATTTTTGATAAGTGATTTTCCCGAACACATCATACAAGAGTAAGTCTTTACCTTCAGTTATTAGTTTTTAGCTTAATTAATTCCATTGGATGATAAGATATAGAACATGATTAATGAAAAAGTTTTAAGAGCTGTTCATTATATCAGTAGTAATATTTATTAGTGTCGACAAAATAGAGAAGTTTCGAATCAAAAACAATTTTGATCATTTATTCATGTGTTGAGACATAAATACAGAAGATCCATTATTTATTAATCTCATTATAATCCTTCTTTGATCTTTCGAGTGATAAAAATATTTTGATTACATGTCTATTTCTATCATATTTAATAATCCGTTAGAAAAAGAATGAAGAATTTCCAAAATTAAAAACAATCAATGAAAACAAAAAAGATTTTGTCTTAAAACTAATCTGATTATTTTGATTTTTTGAATATGACCAATCATAAACATATTCTATTAATAATTTCAAGGATGTGCATATGGGGGAGGGTGAGGGAAGTGCGCACTAGAGCACGACAGATGCAACATTTTTCGATACAATTGACGAAAAAATTCCAGATTCAAACTGACTGGACCTGGATTCTGGATTAGTCCGACGGGTTCTATACACACTTCTTTCCTCACTTTTAGAAAATCTTCAGTTTTTTTTCAGCCAAATTCATATTTTTTATTAAAAGAAAATATTGTAAAATGAAAAAAGAAATCTCAACGCCCTCGACTTTTAAAAAATTATGTGTGTACATTTTCAACTCTCAAAAAATTTCCTTGCATCTCTGTCTCACTTTTTTCTCTTCGCAACATCCCTTCATAATTTTACTTCAAAAATAAAAAAAAGCACGTTTTTTGTTTTGTTTTCAAGTTCAATTTAAAAAAATGGGTTGAAGTAACGAAGCACATATCTCCTTGTTTTTTTTACTGAGACAGTATATGTAAGACATAAAATATCAAGATTTTTTCAGAGGAACTTGAATAGTACCCATTTTTATTTATTCAATTATAATTAGAACTTTGAATAGCAAAGAATTGTTTTTTTTTGTTGTTATATAAAAGAAGACTTATCAAATAGACAATAGCTTGCAAAATTTATTATTTTACGGAAAAAAACTTGATATATCGCGAAATATCTAATGTCTACGTTGAAAATATAAAAATTTGTCATATAAAATGTTCTGCTCTATCAAGTCTTTTACCTTGTATAAGAAGAAATTTCTATCTTTTGTTTCCCTGTAATAAATTATTAAATCGTTTATTTAGAATAAATAATATATATATATATACATTGTGAACTGAGACAAGAAAATGACAAAGATTGGATGAATTCTTTGAGGAATCTTATGTTGCATTTTTTTTTTCTCTTTCTAATCAAGATAATTCAACAGTACCATTAAATTCACATTTTTTTATCATTAATATATATAGGATAGAAATGGAAAATTTAATTATGGTTCATTTAAAAACAACATAAATAGTATAAGAGCTATAAAAATAAAATCGTTTAGTCTTTTGTCTTAAAATTAATCGTGATCAAATCTCTTTTTTTCTCTTCATTCTGTTTTTAATCCAAATATGATCAACAACAAAAAAAAAGGAAGTTTGCATGTAATAATGAGATATACAAAAGCTGCAATCAAAAAACTAATACACACCAAACGAAGAGGTTTGAGATTAGTAAAACAAGAAGCGTTAATAATGTATCTTGAATAATAAATGGGATCTTCTTCCTTTTTTTGTACATATTACATTTCATCTGGATAGTGAAATATCCTTTTGTTCGTTTTCAATTTCTTCTTCTGATTTCATAAATTCATAATTTAATTCTGCTGTTGTTTTATTATAAATTGTTAATTCGAAATGATTAAAATCCCAGCAAACCTTTTTTTTTACAAAAGAAAAATCTAATTTTAATATTATTTAAAAAAAAATAAATCAAACTTACTGTTGCATGATAACCCATAATAAGACAACAAATAATATATTCACAAGCAGAAAAATAACTCCAAGCTGTTGATGGTTGTCCTATATTATTCGAGCATTTACTTGTATGTCTAATATAGGCAATAACTAATAAAAGAGAAAAAATAAATGCTGAACAAAATAAACGCATTTTCCATTGATATGATGTTTGAAAACGAAATTTTTTATTTTTTTCATCAATTTCATTATTTAACCATGATTTATATAATAAATGTCGAAATAAAATTAAACAAGTTATCATACGAAATGTTGATGATAACATAAATATAATGAATGCTTTTTCATGTAAATCATAATTTTCTTTTGATGAGATATATGATAATAATATAAGACCAAAAACTTCGCATAATTCAAAAAATGTATTTAAACTTATTAATTGTTTTAATACGAAATATTTTAGTCGAGAATTATATTTTAATTTTGATAAACTTGTTTTAAATTGATTATGGTAAAGTGTTGCAATTAAAAATCGAGGAAAACAATGAAATGCTATTGCCATACGCCATATATATTTACCAGGTGAAACACCAATTACTGATGAAAATGATGGAATAAAATTTCGAGACTAAGAAAAAAAATTTTGTTTTTTATTTTTTGTTTTATTTCTTAACTTACTCCACATTCAGATTCGAATATTTGTTCTTTAGTAAATAGAACTGATGTTATAAAACTTGCAACCATACCAAAGAAAGGTAAACTAACAATGAAATTTGTTAAATATGGTATGGATATACGTACAATACTTTCAGATGGTGTTCTTTGATTTCGATTTGCCATTCTATTTAGATGAGAAAAATAAAACGTCAACCTATTTGTGTACCATATCGAAGAGAATAGAATGATTATCATTCAAGTCGCATGATGCGTAATTATCCAATTATTGCATAGGAATCAAGAGAGGGCGCAGTCAAATGGCATCATTTTTCATCAGATTTTGTATTTTTTCTTTTTTTTTTATTTTGATTCCACACATAGACTTTTCTTTTGATCGATAACGTATTTCTAAACACAATTGACGATCGGTAATCAAATACAAAGAAAGTAACAATTATTTCTAATTTCAAAAAGAAAACAAGCTGTTTTTATAAAAATGCTAATCAAACTCTTTTTTTTATGTATTTGACAAAATTAAAGGACATCAAAATTTGAAAAGAAATTAATCTAGTAAATAAAGTAATAAATAGAATGATAATTTGCTTTCACGGTTATTCATGTAAGAATATGGATTATACTCAGCAAAACGTAATCGTTTATGCTCTGTTCGTAATTGAAACGTCCTTCAAGAGACTTTGTATCCACTGTGTTCATGACGTCTGATAACATTGTTTGTTCTGTATCGATTAATATGAACAATATTATATATTCCTAATTTTAATGAGCTAATATATAGAAAAAAAACTTTTTGTTGTACACGGGGCAAATGATTATGCACAAACAGCTCATTAATTTGAAAGTATTCATTTTTCATTGTATCTATCATATTTGAACGCAATAAAATACAAACAAATAATAAGAATACGAACTGAAAGAATTTTTTTTTGACAATAAATCGTAGAAATTAAAAAGAAAGAAAGAAATTATATTTTTATTTTTGATGATAAAATAAAGACATACACAACTATAGAACTTTATTTTGAAATAAAAGAAATAATGATTCAATAAATCACTATTCATCAGGAACATCTTCACCTGCATTGGTTTGTTCGTCTTCATGCTCATCTACAACTTCATCTTGAAAATAAAATAAAAAAATCAATTAAATTAAAAATCAATAACTTTAAAAACCTAATTTACCATTCTGCAAGGCATTCGTGGTGGTTTCACCTCCATCATTTGTATTATTTTCATTTTTTGGTATTAATTCTCCTGGACCTAATTCTAGTCGATCAGTATTTTGTTCTAAACCATGAGCAATATCACCTGTTGATGTTCCCATCTCAATACCACCTTCAATTACCTTAGCAAAAAAGAATTTTTTTTATTCTTTTAAATAAATTAAAATTAGAAATTTACTTTTTTAAGTATTTCTTCTAAGTTTTGATAATCATCAACACGTTGATTAACAACATCTCGGATAATTGAATCAAGAATAGTTCGACCGAGTACTAAATTATTAACTTGTGTCATTGTCTTTTCCATTAACCAAGGCATAAATGATGTTTCAATTTCTAAAAAATGAAGAAATCGAATAAGAAAAAGCTAATTTTAGTTTTAAATCGAATAAATACCATGTTCAACAGGATCATAAAAGTATCCATTTTCTCTTAAATTATTAAATACACTTGGAACAAGATCTTGTAAATAAGATTTAGCAAAAGCTCGAGCAGCAATTTTTTGTGCAACATCTTGTTCTAATCGAAGTGCTTCTTGTGCTTGTTTCATTCGACGATCTTTTTCAGCTCTTAAACGTCTTTCTTGTTCTTCTAATCTTTGTAATTCAATTACTTCAGCATTACGTATTTCTTCATATTCTCGTTGTTGTTCACGAATTTCAGCTAATTCTTCTTCTTCAGCAACTTCAATTAAGGCTTGTTCAACTGTTTTACCAACTAATGTTTCCACAATTGGTTTTACTTCAAGATCAAAATCAAATAACTAAAATATTTATAAATAAATTTAGCAAAAAAAAAACAAAAAAGAAACAACAAAAACAATTTACATCGCCTGCTTCAATTTGCGTGGCTATATCTTTGCCAGTAGATTGTGGTATGAATAATGGTGATGGTGGTCGATCAAGAAATGCATCAGTTTGAACATCAACATCAGCTTCTTCAATACGATCACTGAATTTTTAACAAAAAAAATCAAATTAAATTAGTTTTTGAATAATAGAAATCTAAGATTTTTTTTTGTGTATTGGAAAGAATGTAGTCAAGGACGTCTATCAATATAAAAATTGAGTCATCAAAACACTATTCAAGTAGATTCTAATGAGTTTTCAAAAAAAATTGATTGCTCAACGATATATCATGTTCTATCGTTTTTAAAGATCAAACTCGTAGCTTTGTTTGAATAAGAGAACCTCTCCAATTTTCAAATCGCTATTGAACCAAAAATCATTATTCTGCACGTTTCCGATTAGCTTTCTAGAGCAAAAAAAGTTTATTTCAGAACAATCATAAAGATTATTACAGGCATAATATTCTTTCCTGAGTGCAGCTTCAATACAAATCACAGTGTAGAAGGAGAAAACTACGACTACAGCACCATTTAGAATGGCTTTGAAATGAAAAGAGATGCTTTCTATTATAAAACTCGATCCATTCTGAAATCTGCATAGATTAAAAAGCGTTTCGCTATGAAAAGTTGGTTTTTCAGAAAAACGGTGTAGAAAGATCTTGCAGATGTTAACATGACAATATTTGGAATTAGCATGAACGATAAGTTATAGGACAGTAGTTTTTGATTCAAAAGCGATTTGAGAATAGGAGAGTGTTCCTTGTCAGATAAGCTGAATCGAAAAGTGTACTTTAAATTGTTTAATTGAAAATAGATAATATTTATACATGATACATAAATAAATCAAAAATAGATGCAATACACTTTTGTACATCATCATTAAAATCTGTTCAATAATACTTATTTAAGTCATTGAGCAAGAATATCATAATATTTAAAATGGAATTAACGTGAAATAGCATGAAAAAAGGACATCATGACAGGAAACGCATAAAGCAGATGATTTTTTTAAAATCTAAGTAAATAAGATTATTAGCGAAAAAAAAATATAGAGGAACTTCTTTTTCTTAATGCAAAGATAATGATAATAATAGATAGATAAATGAAACAAAATTGTTTGTAACATGAAAACATGTTATTTCGAGTAACTCTGTGAAACTTAGGTTAAAATATTCACCTGAGTTCTTCAAGATAAAGTTCTGTTTGAACATCGATATTTTTTCGATTATGTACAGGTTCAGGCGTTCTTGTTCGAATTTGTTCTCGTGCTTTACGTCTTGCTAAAGCACGTCGTTTAGCTTCTTGTTGACGTTGAACTTCAATTGGATCTGGTTGAGCATGCTATTGAAATCAAATAAAAATTTTCTTTTACAAAAATCAATATTTACCGCAGGAAGTGTATGAAGTGCATAAGTATTTCCACGAATAACACGACGATCGTACATAAGATTACCAACCGTAGTACTTTCATCTCTTTATTAATATATTTTGATTAGAAATAGAAAAGCAAAACATAGAATTAATAATAAACGTACGGTGGATTAACGACTGATTGTCGAAATTTTTCTCGTTGTCCCTGTTGTTGTACTGCTTTAGGCTGACTGGAAAATGTATAAGTTGAATTAGGTGGTTTTACAAGTGTTGCAGCCATTTTAAAAGACTGATTCCCGTATTTACGGTAGGGTTATAAAATAATGCAATTAACTACTGGTTGAGAGCAACAGATGCTTTATGAGTATGCGTTTTATCCTCAACAACTACAATACATAAATGACATACCATAATTGATTTTGTTGTTACGGTAGAGACTCTACCTGACAACTATGTTTGACAATAGTCAAACAAATAGAAAGAATCAACTTGTAATGTAAAACATATAAAAAGCAATCATTCGAAATGAAAAATTTGCAAAAATAATAGACGGTTTCACTCATTGATCGAGAGCGTCCTCTGTCGCAGGATCAAAGGTTTTTTTTTTTGTTTTTTAACAGATATCATTATTGTAAGAAAAATGATTTTTCATGACCAGGTTGACGTTCTTTAATGTTTGAAAGAAGATCGAATATCAGTATATAAATGAGTTGATTTTCTTTTTGTTTACACCACAAAACGAAAACGATTTGTAGACTTTTCTACGGTCATACTTTCTCTTACTGATTTTAGTCAATACTTTATGATCATACCAACAAAAATCATTCATCTATATGCCAATTATTCATTCGAAATTGCGTTTTGCCTAAGGCATCGAGTAAGTTTTGAAGTTGAAAACATTTGTATATCACGACTGAAAAGAAAAAGAATACGGATGTTAAAATATGAATTGTTTACTGCTATTGACTGAGTTATTCTATCTAGATTAGAATCATAACCACCGTGGCAAGAAAAGAGTAATCAGATAAACAAGTATAGACCGTACTAAGTGCATTTACTCACTTACCTGAGGTTTTCATTTATCAACTGCGTCAATATTTACTATTTTCAATATTACCCACTAAAAAATGTTGTACTACAAAAGCAGTGGCGTAGCCAGAAATTTTCCAAGGGGGGTGCCCGACACATTATGCGGGGGTGCACACTAGTAGAAAAATAAATTTTTGTTTCTCAAAAAGATTTTTTGCTCGTATCCCCTGCAGATTATTCATTGGCCAAGGGAATGCTGGGGCACCTGTGCACCCCTCCCCCCCCCCCCCCCCCCCTTGGGTACGCCCCTGCCCAAAAGTATAAAAAGCATCACAAAGAAAATTCTTTCTTTATATGCATATTCACTTTCTAATTTGCTACATAATCTACTTTGTTTTCAAACAAGATGACGTCTCCATCTACGTACTATTGTATATTCACTTTACGATAGTCGAGATTGGGACGAAACACGTACTGTTCTCGGAATAATGCGTTTATGGTTAAATTTATGTATTGAATTTCATCGTCAAGGTCCTCCGTGTCCGGCAAGTAATGTTATTCATTTTAAGACAATCAGTACACTTGGTCCGAAATTGTTTGCTGTAAGCCTTGATACTTTACAAGTATTCTATCATGAAAATGACCAATGGCATCAATATCAATCAGCAAGAAATATTCAAATTGGTATATTGATAGATTTGATGAAAGCTTTCAGTAATGATCATGATTATACAGATGATGATTTATCACGAGAAGACAATGGTAGAGAAGATCGAGATGAGGATGGACAAGATCAACAAGCAAAAGATTCACACGCAAATAACGATTTGAAATATCAAATCAATCAAGCTATTCTATATTATTGTCTTTTTCAAATGCTCGTTAGTATTCATTTACATATTTATATTATTCAACAACAACCATTTATTCATTGACTAACCGATATTCATTTTTGGAATAGTAATGTCATGATCTCTAGATATTCATATTGTTTTTCAATAAATACTCATTTCACATTTGATATTTAAAAAAAACAACTGCAACTTTATTAGCGACTGTTTTATTTTAGTAGCAGTAAAGGATATGAGTGTATGTGCATGGTAGAAGTGGTTGGTGAGAATGTTTGTGGAACAGAAGATTCATCAACATCTACACTAAACACAAAGCTGCGGCATTGTAGTTATCAACGAAACACTTCAAATGCAATATCAAAATTACGGACATTCTTATTCTTTCACTTAAGCGAAAATTTGAATCAATCTGAGATACACAAGAGTCGATCGACAGAGTTATCGCATTAAAATCGAAATTTTATCGACAATCGAGAATTGACTATTCTGACCAGTTCTTGAGTGGGATTAAAATGCAGACAATGGTAACGCTTACTCATCTGCAAAACCGTCACCTTCGACCTCATATTCCATGTTAACAATTAAATTGCGATCTCTTAGATTTTGAAAAGGAAGGTCACTTTGTTTTGGGAATCATTGCGGAAAGAATTTCACTATATAATCAAAATAAATAGGATTTTATTTAGAAATTATGGAACGTTACACTGTTGTGAATATAAAATGAAGTAAATTTAGTTTTTGTCGAGTAGGGCAGTTATTTTGGATGATGGTTCCATGAAGTATAAAGTTGAATAATTTCTTTCAAAGAAACCATTAGAATAGAGGAAAGAGTAATTGTGTTCTAGCATAAACAATTAGTTTTATTTAGTATCGAACGAACATTTGTACCCGATGATTGTATGAGTCCGACACATAAAGATTCAATTGTTTGTCCAGTAGGATTGAATTTGGATAATAAAGTAGATTAGGTGAGTTACCAACTGTACCTGTAATACCAGCAATAGTTGTTCCATTTCGTTGACCAGCACGAAACAACTGTACACGATGATTGTATGTGTCAGCTACATAAATGTTACCCATCGAATCGAGTGTGACGTCTGATGGATAATACAACATTATTGCTGTACTACCAGCATTATTAATAGACCCAGCAACAAGCGTCCATCCAATGGAGCCGATAATCCACCGAACAATAGTGTGGGCACCATGGTTGGCAATTAGCAAGCTGTTCGATGATGAATCAAAATAAATGGCATATGGACTGTTCAGCTGGCTGGTCAGTGTTCCTGGTCCATTACCACCAGCAACTAAAGTACCATTGGATGCATTCGATGCATAGCTCATAATTCGATGATTATCAGTGTCTGCTATGTAAAGGATGCTTGAGCTCGAGTCAACAGTAAGATCTCGAGGAGAGTATAGTTCATTGAATCCGGAACCATTGGAACCTGAAATAGCGTACAACGAGATTTTCTCTGAACATCATAGATATTAGTAATTTGCAAGAGAGATTTCGCAAATATTATCATGAAAAGCATTGTTTCGTAAAGCAGTCCACAGAATCCATGTATGAAACGGCGAACATCTTTCCTCATAGCTGAACTTCGTCTTTCAAAACGGATGTATACAGACTTTTGCTCTTACTCTTTACGAAAACAGTGAGGCACAATCGTGGACAAACGTATATTCTCTCAAAAATCTTCTAGAACTCTGTCGCTGTTGTGAGTTGGTGCAATCGATGAGGTTCCACTCAATAGCTATAGCAGAAGTTGGATATCATGTGTCAGTCGTGTCTTGATATCGTTAAAGTCATGATCTGAATATTTTCTCAGTTGTCTTAATCTGAAAAAAACTAAGCTTCAAGCTCAATGGGTTTGGATAATATGATTCAAGAGGTCACAATGTTCGATGCATAGTGACAAAATATTTTGTTACACTCGAGGCAATGCCATATGGAGAAGGCATTAACAACCATTTGTCTATGCTCGACGCTCCGACAACATAACAGCTACACGACGGTATACGTAGGCTCAAGTAATTAGTATGTGGTTAATTGGTGTACATGAGAAGCACAGACTATTAAGTACAAGACTTTTTATAGATAGGCTATACTTTCGCTCAGAGTTTGAGCTAAGCTCAGTAATAGAAAAAATGCCGTCCTTATAAAAATGCTTTTAAGCAACACTCCCAACCACAAAAGAGTCAGAAACTATGAGTATTGCCTTCTCCAGTAATGCTCAATGTCACTATACGGTATTCAATCTTTTCTAAATCCACATATCCTCTTGTTTTGTCAAATTTTCTTTCAGTCTCTATTAGTCATGGCACTTCAACAGAATATGTACCATGCCCATTGACACTGATCTAATCACAAGTGAGTCTTTGGGATAAACGTGTATATTTAATTGAGAACGGTAAACATTTGATAGAAGTACTATCGTGGTAGCAATTCAAAAAACCTCAAATTGAAATACTATTCGAATGCAAATGAATTTTCCATTGGCTAAGCAATTCTTTCTCAGTCTTCTTGCTTACCGGTACCAGCAATAGTTGTTCCTGATAGTGCACCACTAGGCCAAAGCTGTACCCGATGATTGTAAGTATCAGCCACGTAAACATTGTTACTCGAGTCTACATAGATGCCAAAAGTTTGGTTCAAACTATTTGACGTAGAGTTTGCCATTCCATTTGCCTGACCAGCTACTGTCGCTCCCGCCGAATCGCCAATGTTCCATGCTTGAACTCTATTATCGTTTTGATCGGCAATATAAAGCAAATAGGATGAATCAAACCTTATCTTCCTGGGATAATAAAGCCGAGAAGATAGCGGGCTTCCAGAATACCCAGTGCCAGCGACGGTGGTTCCTGCGGCATTCCAACGGAATCCAAGTGTAGTAGTCACTAAATTTTAATGTAATTGGAGAGTATAAAACTTCTATAAAAATCAAGGTAGGCTTTTCAAAAATCTAATTGATCACTTGTTCGACCTTTCGATAAACTCATTTAGGATAGTCCAAAACGATTCAAGAGGGAAAAGATGACTCCTCTATTCACAATGAAACTAGTAATTGATCGAAAGATCATCTGTTCACTTCTGTTTTGTTTCTAATGATGGTATTTGATTGTTATCGAAAGCTCGAACAAGCGATCATTTTATTTGAAGACTAGAGTCATTTCACTTAAATGAGCGCTTTTTAAACTTTCATGAATAACATTTCGCTAATTTGATGTGTTTCGAATGCTGGAATATATGACTGGGTAAGTCTCTTCTCTAAGGTTCCGTGTTCGACTCGGACCGAGTCAAGAAAAAAAAGTTGGTCTCGAGTTGGACACTGCTAGCGCGGTAACATTTTCCTATACTTTCTATTCTCAAGAGCTCATAGAACAGTTTCAGTTCCTAGCAACTGATATCCATGTCCAGCTTCAGTTTGTGAGAAGTGATCGATCAGATTAAAGCAACTGTGAACTGGTTTTTTCAAGCTGGGACTGCTACGGTCATAGTTTTCAAGCAGATCCACATGATGAATACGTCTACAAACTCAACTATATTAATACTCGGCTCTTTTAGGTCGCAGGATATGATCAAAACTACGGCTTTCAGACCAATCCTGTTCTAGGAGAATAAAAATTGAAGGTTGACATTTTTTATCATGATTAAGAAAAGTCTATGAAAGTGCGTTATTAGACCAAACCTATTTCTGTGATTCAAAACATTGATACTTTCATACGTATTAATTAGACCATTTTTGAAAAGACACGAATTGAATCGAAGCAGCATCATGTGTACGTATCTCGAAATAAAGTGAAAAAGGTAAATTCTTATATATTTGAAGAGGAAAATAGTACATGGAAGAAGTACATATCTTGTATGCATATAGTGAGCTTAATTATACAGGGTGTCTCATAATTATAAGACCCCCCACTAAATTTCCATAAAAGTAAAGATTAATTCAACTAAAGAAAGTTTCATTTCTAATCTTATGTCACACCTATAGACATCTAGTAGTACTCTATCATATACCATATTGGTTTCAATTTAGTCGGTTACCATTGGTGAATAAATTCTAAAAAATTTGAATCACTGTGTCTCACAATTATAAGACCCCCCTCCTCCCATGATATAAAAATATTTAATTAATTCAAACTTTATCAACTCAAATGAACCATTTTAGGATCCATTCGAAAGAGGAGACATGCAGCTATATGCTATAAAAAAATTAGATTGAACAAGATTACTTTACGTTTTCTATAGTTCAACAAATTAAATGATAGAAAATTGAAATCTAAAAAAATCACTATGCCCTTCAAGAAAAATAGTTTTTTTCTTCTTTAATACAACATAATTAAATTCGAAGGATACCATTGGATAGAGAATTAAAAGTTGCATATACTACATATGTTTCCACAAAAGACTCGCAAGTAGTTAGTAACTGGGATAAAATATTGGAAATATGTTTTTTCGA